CCCCCATCCCCCGGGGCAGCGAAGAGTTCCCCCAGTCCCTGGAGCTCCCGTGGCCAGAGCTGGGGCTGAGTGTCCTATCCCTCCTGCCCTCAGGGTGTCCGGTGAGGAGTGCAATGGGATCAACAGCATGGCGGCCGAGAGCGGCCCCGGCACGCGGCTGCGCAACCTGCCGGTGATGGGCGACGGCCTGGAGAGCACCCAGATGTCCACGGCCCAGGCCCAGGCCCAACCCCAGCAGGGCAGCGTGGTGGGCGTCAACCCTCCTCCCCCAGAGACCTCCAACCCCAACAAGCCCAAGCGCCAAACCAACCAGCTGCAGTACCTGCTCAAGGTGGTGCTGAAGACGCTGTGGAAACACCAGTTCGCGTGGCCGTTCCAGCAGCCTGTGGACGCCGTCAAGCTCAACCTCCCTGTGAGTGCGGCTCAGGGACGCGCGCGGCGGAGTCCTGGCTGGGGATTGGGGATGTCTTCCTCCTGCTGGAGCACAGAGTCCGTTGCGTGGTTGGAGTTGATCCAACGGTTGGGCTTGACTTGGGGACCTAATGGTTGGGCCTGGGGACCTAATGGTTGGGCTTGACTTGATGACCTAATGGTTGGGCTTGATCCAGTGCTTGGACTTGATGATCCAAGGGTTGGACTTAATGATCCAGTGCTTGGACTTGATGATCCGAGGGTTGGACTTGATGATCCAAGGGTTGGACTTGATCATCCAGGGGTTGGACTTGATGATCCAAGGGTTGGGCTTGGTCCAATGCTTGGACTTGACGATCCAAGGGTTGGACTTGACGATCCAAGGGTTGGACTTGACGATCCAAGGGTTGGACTTTATGCCCCTGGAGCTGTGTCCTTCCAATCCAAAGGGTTTCTGCTTCTTGTTGAGTACAGTTCCCACCTGATGTGTGATGTGAGCGTCCTCTGGGCATGGTGGGGTTGGGGAGGAGGAGCAATCGCAATCCCAAATCCTGCTCTGCCATTCCCTCTTTTTGCTCCACAGGATTATTACAAGATCATTAAGACTCCGATGGACATGGGAACAATAAAGAAGCGTCTGGAGAACAATTACTACTGGAATGCTCAAGAATGTATCCAGGATTTCAACACCATGTTTACAAACTGCTACATCTACAACAAGGTGTGGAAAACGGGCTCGGATCGAGGCTTCTCCGAGGGGGATTTGGCCTCCACCCCGAGCAGCTTCGGGGGAAAACGGGAGCAATCCAGCAGGGACAGGGACAGGCTTGGCTAGGCCTTCCCTCCTGCAGGAATTGTTAGAGAGGTCTTCAGGCTAGACAGGGAATTTTTCCCAGTTTTTTTCCTGGTCTGAGGAATATTTTGAGGGATTGTTGGGGGTATGTCCAGAGCAGATCCATGAGGAGTAGGTTCTTGGCTTCCTCTCTTCCATAGTTTTGTTAGGAAGGCCCTTGAGGCTGGTTTGAAAGGGTGGGAGGAGCTGATGGGAAAAATCCTCTGGAGCATTAGCTTGACCTTGGCATGGACCTGAACCTCCTGGTAGGAAAATTCTTCTCCAGGCAGTGACTAAACACCTGGAAAATGGTCCTGGAGACAGTTGTGCCACAGCCTCAGGTGGAGGAAAAACACCTGGAGGGATCATGGAATGCTTCAGTTGGGAAGAGACCTTAAAGCTCATCCCATCCCTGGGTGGAGCCAACGGGAAGTTCCTGGTTGGCTTTGATCCGGGACATTCCTTTGCCACTTTTTCGGATTTGATCATCCAATGGGTTGGTCCTGATGATCCAGAGGTTGGACTTGATGGGTACATTTGGAGGGAGGTGACACCTCGTGTGGGTTTGTTCTCCACCTCTGTCCATCCCTGGTGTTCCCTGGGATCAGGGGGAGGATTTCTCCACATGTTCATCCCTTGGGCCTTTCCTGCCCCGCGATGGGAACGCAGAGTCCTCGCCGCAAGTTCTCTCCTCACCTGATCGAGGTCTCCCTTTCTCCTCTTCTCAGCCAGGGGATGACATAGTCTTAATGGCAGAAGCTCTGGAAAAGCTTTTCCTGCAGAAGATCTCGGAAATGACCCAGGAGGAGACTGAGATCGTCATCGCTCAGACCAAGGGAAGAGGACGCGCGCGGAAGGAAGCAGCAGGACAAGGACCAGGTGGGGTTTGTCACCCGCTCGGATATACAGGTAAGAAAGAGCTTCTGCTGCCCTTGGCCTGCAGGAAATCCTCTGGGAGATGCCTTTGGGCTGGGCTTGGGAGGGGTTGGAGTTGGACCCTGGGGACAGACCCATGGAGTGTGTCCAGGAACGGTTCCTCCGGACCAGGCCCAGGAGCTCCCAGCAGTTCCCTTGCCCAACAGGAAGTCTTTGCCCATCAGAACATCTCAACTGGAAGAGCTCAAGGAATCACCAACCTCCTCCTGTCCCTGTTGTCCTGGCAGTGCCATCCCCCCAGGACCTCTTTGCCCATTAGAACATCTCAACTGGAAGAGCTCAAGGAATCACCAACCTCCTCCTGTCCCTGTTGTCCTGGCAGTGCCATCCCCCCAGGACCTCTTTGCCCATTAGAACATCTCAGTTGGAAGAGTTCAATCGACCCCCAGGACCTCATTGCCCCCCAGACCCCCTGGGTGGGATGAGTTGACTAACCCCCACGCTCTGTTCTCCCGGCAGTGCCGTCCAAGCCGGGCTCGTCC